TGGAGTACCTTAAAGTTTGATGCAAAAACGCATGATCGCACCGGCTCGCCTGGTGCGTTCCAGCCTAGGTTCCTACTTTTTTTTTCCGAGTGAGTTTTCAGTCAGAATTGCTTTTGAATTCACAGTGCCGCCTCTTTCAAGATGGACATCAGAGCCTGTAATGTTAAGCGGTCGAGATGTACTTCGTTACATAGAACGAGGTATGCTGTTTTTCGAGGATAACCGACTCAAAAATCCGGTTGCAGATACGAGGATGCATTACGAGCTCGCGACTTGGACAGTAACAAAATCGATACTATGCTTATAGAGCTAGCACAAATTGAGGCTGATATAAATGCGCTAAGACGTCGGATCACGGAACTGGAAGAAGAGGTGATGCGCATCAAAAAGGACAATCAGAGTCTTCTCGGAGAGTTGCAAAGAACTCGAACGGTTCGAATTAAATCAATAACGTGACTCGAAGCAAATGCAATTCCTCTTTTCCTGAGAAAGCGTGTAGTCGGTCATTTTACGTCCTGAAATAAGCTTTCATTCATATATAATAAGTACTGCAGTATCAAAGAAAATTCCTCATTATTTTTGTCAAATTTATTGTATATGTTATACTTATTATATGAAAATATGTATTTACTAATATATCGACTAATGAGCAAGAAACGCGTTTGTTAAAGCTGCCTTAAGGATGAAAACTTCTTTAAAAATTTGTTGTTCCTCTCCATCATAAACGGCTCCAGGGCGGTCACCTGGGGCGGAGGGGGAAGGGGCAACAGGGGTATCGAGCAGACTTTTGTACAGTAAAACAATTGCCACCTAACCCTCTAGGAGGGAAGGACCTCCTCACTTCCCCTCCTCCAGCCCCTCTCCCTCACTGCTTTCTTGGTTTGCCAGTGCTCCCCATTCCTTCTTCCGTCTGAGCAGGTCAAAATTGCTTTCTTCGAAAAATCGTAGTCGTGTTGCTGTTATATTGCCAATTCGTTATGCCGATTTCTGACCTCAGTTGAATGCGCCGGACCCTCTCCTGTCACTGGTTGGTTTGCGCTGGTCATTCTATAGGCAGTAAATACTCAGAGGCAAAATGCTACACAGTTTGATAGCGGCGTGCTGGCACCTGTCAAAGTGTATTTGCTTTGTCCAGGCACCATCATTTTTCCCACATCATAATCAAATATTTCTAATCGAGTTTTGCAGGACTTATGGAAATACAAAATTTGCCTTTCAATATCATGTTCCCCACCCTCCCGTCCCGCTTAATCTTTCGTCTCTCGTTAATGTTGCCCAGTGCTGTGACAGCGGAAGATTCTCCGCCCTAAGAGTGAAAATAAGGAATAATATTTAGGAGGTGACTAGAGAACAGCAGTAATAAAGACTGAAGAATTAAAGATTAAATACGAAGTGTGGAAAAGGGAAAGCATTACGCAGACAAATAATTTACAGGAAAAATTATTTTATAACAAAGTATTCAGATATCGGCCAATTCTCCTTGTGGACCCAAAATTTTTAATAAGACTGTTGCATGCTTTTCTTTTTTTGAAATCTTCCAAATAGAAATCTTTCACTTAAAAAGTAACACTCTGACTGCACGAGTAATGAGATTTCAGTTGTTTAAAGCTTTACTATACTTCATTACGAGCTAAACATTCCACGTTTTGAAAAAATGCAAAAAAAAAAAAACAGAAAGAAACACATTTATCTTTAAATATTCAAAATGTACTCCCTTATGCGCATTTATATTTATATTGCCCCTTATTCACACCATCACAACCGTCACAGTGGTGGGGTCCAGTCGTGATGCTGAATATGAATGCATGCGACGTAGTGGATAGAAATATTCCTGCCCGTCTCATTTTTTTAAATTTTTTAAACTTTTTTAGTACTTTTTTAATATTTTATGTACACCATCAGTAATATTTTTGCTACACAGCATCTCGAAACAAAATTATTGAACAGCCCATTAAAACGATAAAAATGTTTGAATTTCGAGGTAAACAAGGGAAACGAGCGCTGCGAGAGTTTTTCAAAAACGCATGTCACGCAATACACTGACGAGTAGCAGTAAGTCATTTGCGTGGTTTATTGAAGGATGTGGACCAAGAAACGCTAAACCGCATCGACTATCAAAATCAAGTGCAAACTCTATTAGAAGAGATCGATTTCATAAGGCGTGTTCATGAGCAGGAGATCCGCGAATTGCAAAGTCTTGCCGCTCGTGATACAACGCCCGAGAATCGGGAGTTCTTCAAAAATGAACTGGCTTCTGCAATCCGTGATATTCGGGCCGAATACGATCAAGTTAGTTCCACTGGCTATTGTGGGGCTGTCTTGAATGTGCTGCGCTTTTTTATCAATTTAAATATGACATTTTCTTGCGATCAATCATAAAATTACGAAATAGCTTTTCGGCAAACATCCAATAAAAAAGTATTCCAGATATTTTTCTGGCTTATCTGAAGTCAATATCCTATGCAGAACATATATTTGAAGATAACGAATGTGAATCGCACGGACATGGAATCGTGGTATCGACTTAAAGTGCAGGAAATCCAAACGCAGTCTGCTAGACAGAGTATGGAGCATGGTTATGCGAAAGAAGAAGTGAAGAGACTTCGTACACAGCTTGCCGATCTCCGGGGCAAATTAGCAGACTTGGAAGGAAGGGTATGTTTTTTGATTTAAAGAAAGAAACCACTGGCTAGTATGATGTAGAGATTCGCATTGATGTAGTTGCGACGTAGCGCAAGTGGTAACCGGCGCTTGACGAGTGTAGAATGGGAATGGACGACGTTTATAGCAGGACGTATGCGTATATGCTTGTGTGTATGTGTTTGGATGTATGTTTGTGTGTGTGTGTATATTTGTGTATATATATACACATGTGTGTATGTGTTTGTGTGCGTGTGTCTGAATATATGTAAGTGATAGTCGAAGAAAGAGGAGTGTGTGGCGCGGTTGGTCGAGAAGGCAGTACTCAGTTATTCAGCCTGGAGGCCCACTTATACAACATACTCAAGCAAACTTCCAAAATCACGCATGTTGGATCCGCGAAATGACGGACAAACTCGAGGTACCGTAGCTGGAGAAATCCGGCATCATCACAAAAGCGATTGCTGTTTTCCCAGGTCATCTAGGAGTCATCCGCACGCACGATCGGCCCGAGATAAAAGCAAGGCCGTAAATCGCTAGCTTCCAAAAATGAATTTTCTCATGTCATTTTGGCTTCATCGTCAGCGAGGTAGTTCGATCACAGTTGGGGGAACATCCTATGTCCCTTACATAGCTTGCAGTACTTTTAGGAGCTTCTTGCGAACCAGGACTCG